GAAAAGACCTACATGATGTTTTATTTCATAGATGAGTGCGGCATATAATTTTCCCCTATCAGATTTTTTATTTTTGTCCCCAAAGCTTTGACTGGTGAGATATCGCAAAAAAGGTGAAAACTGTTCCAACCAACCCCGCTCTCCCCTACCGGTATGCAAGTGTACTGGATAAATTATCAATAATTATTATATTTATAAAGACTCCCGCCGTGTTAGCAAAAGCGGGTACTTGAAGTGCAGTGTTTTCAGCAGCAGTTCGTGATTGGAATATCATGATACATCCACCCTACAAAACTCAGCACACGCACCCACACAACTTGGCACACTCACCCACACAACTCAGCACACGCACCCCGTACATCTTCGCACGTCTTGCCCACAAAACTCAAAACATGCCTTGATGAAGTTAACAAAAACAAAATGGTCGAATGACAAAGTATCTTGTCGGTCGGATTGTCGAGGAAATCATCGTTTTTTTTTGTGCATCGGTGTTATGAGCACTTTTTCTCAGAGTTGTATTGAATTACCAATTATGTATAGGCAATATGACAATTATACGTTATATCCATAGCAACATAAATGAAATGAGGTGAAATTAACCGTCTGCTGCAGGCAATTCGTCAAGTGATTCCAAACCTTTTCCAGTTATCAGGGCTGACCCAGTAATTTGGTAGAGGAGAAGGGAAGTGCGTGTTTGGGGGCAGAAAAACACCTATAGGCCTACGTATTTGGCACTTCATAAAGCGTACACACCGTATTTCACACAGTGTACACATACGTACCTCACATTTCACAAAGCGTACACGCCGTACATCAGACAGCGTACACGGCCTATACGCGCAGAGGCCCTCACGTCCACGTCCACTTGACACCGAACAATATTGCAATGACGCACGAATTGCCTACCTTTGGTCTCAAAGCCACTAATTGTGGACAATGTATGATACGATTGGGGATTGGGATGTAAACTGAAAAGTGTAATTGAATTAATATTTCCCTTGTGGAGGAAATTTGTGCGTTGATGATTGGAATTCGTGATGCTGTTTGCACTGCATTTTTTTTTTCGAAAAAAGTGGAGAGAGAGGATATCGATACATTGAAACATTCACAGCGGTTAGAAAGAGTAGATACAAAATCATCTTGAACGTAAGGTTACAATAACCCGATGGCCACGATTTATATTAACCATGATTTCACCCTGAATGAATAAAGTTAAACAAATAAATTAATTAATAAAATAACCCTAAAACAAGTTCATTGACCTTTTTGGGAGATAACTGTAGTCTTTGATCCTACAAAAGGCGCCATGGAGGCTGTATGGTTGTTTTGATTTTTCTGCTTCAGGCGCCATAGCAGTCTATTGAGAATGCTTTATTGAGGTAAAACTTTGAAGTGCAGGCGACAATGCCGTGAAGCCGTTCTTTAAATTATGGTGGATAGGTTTTCAGGACTAAGATTCGAAAACTGAGACTGTACATTCAGCCGAAAGGCCTTCATTAGAGGGGATCTTACATGGCAATTGTGGAATGTGAATTAATCAAAACAAAGTTGATGGGAAATGTGCAGTCATCTGGTTCACAATATTAATTACAACTCAGCGACGTTATAACGGAATGCACCGGAAATGATGGAGATAAATTACAAATAATTCGCCAATGTGTTTTGCTAATGCTGACCAGTGACAGAGCTCATAAAAACTGTAGGACAATTTAGAAATACGTCATTTTTCTTCTTTACCTTATTTAACAGATACCTGTCCTTATCAATTCACATCATCTTACCCGTGCTGTCACGTGACCAAGATAAAGCTCCTCCAAATGTCATTTTTCGTTTATTAACCAATTAACTGCGATTTCTAAGATACAAACAGTTACTTAAAGAAAATATGGCGATCGTGTATTGATTCATATTTCTTTCCACCACAGCCTCTGATCGGGCAGGTGTGATAAAGCAAATATATATTATTAACTACGTACTTTACCAATAGATAAGTACATTGTAGGCCTACAGCTTCTGCAGTTTATAAATCACATGCCAAATTAGCTATTAACTTTTGTCATGTATATAATTACTTCTAGGATCCTGCGTCTATCTCAGACAGCAATTGTATCTATCTAAAGTACATGAGACGCCACATTTAACACACTGCTATTAAATTATCTTCATTTCTTTGTCCCGGTGTGCCCTATATCGCCATGATAATGCCTGACTAGCACCTGCCACTCGCAGAGTATTCTGTGCGGGTAAATGAGACTTAACATTGTTATTCTCAAAATCATTCAAACAATTTAATCAAAACATATACCCTGAGTGCCAGGGCACTGTAAAGCTAGCTTGCTCACTATAACTTTTCATGTGTTGGCTTAATATATGAAATCGAGATCGAGCTGGCAATAACGAAATCTAGAACCTATAGGGTATCAAAACACGAAATCTGCAATAAAAAAATACGTAAATAGGCCTAAATAAAAGTTTGTAATTAACAAGGCCCTACTTAAATTCTTAGAGTTAGATATTTGAGACATAAGAACATGAAAATTCTATTTTAGAGACTAGAATATGAAAGTAAGATCGCAAACTTCTGGCAATCACCAATATAAGATTTTCTAAGATGAAATCATCCAAAATTAAACTGGAAGGTAATAAATGACAGAAATGTATCGTTTTTTTCATTTCTACACAATTTCAAGAATTGCTCATTACTCTAAATAGTAGCTTTGCGTGTCTTGTTGTCTTTTTATGTGTGAAAATTGGTGTAAATTAACGGGTGTAAATTAAGTGGAACGTAGACCCTTCTTGACATCACCGTGGAAATCACAGCTCTGCCACCTAGCGGTGTGTTATTAAATTATGTTCCAACTGGAAAAGCACGAAGCACCGAAGGACATTGTGATTGGGAACGGATGATTTTTTACACCAAAAAGTAAATATCACTGGATATTTAGACCTTGGGCCCGTCTTCATGGATGAATTAATTAAGCTTCTTTATTTGTATCTGCAAAAATGTAGGCCTCAAAACCAGCCCCAATCTATTTTCCATTCAGATTCAGTTTTCATCAATCTTTTCCCATTTTCGGGATTGTTTATTTATTTATTTATTTATTTATTTTTGGTCAGCTGAAAGCTACGATATTGGATACGATATAAGCCGAGAATAGCCGAGTAAGCGCGATTCATTTTCTGTCCTCCAATCATTAGAGATCGTTTAAAGTCGACCAGGCCAGTGTGACTGTGGACTGAGAAAATGCAGTTAGTTTATCGCCGATATTGATCGAAAACATTCCCCAGGTAAGATTGTTTTTACAGAAAAGATAAGCGCACGGGCTCACATAACCCAATGAAGTGTGAAATTGAGGGACGATAACCTGAAACTCGACCACAGAGCGGATATTACGTGCATTGTAGACAGACTAGTGAGGTACAAGAAGTACTTTATGTAGTTTATGTGAGGCAGTGAAGCCTTAACTTAAAAGCTACAATTGTAAAATTCTTTGCATTTTGTGCCTCATATTTGCCTAATCTTTTTGACAACCAGGATCGTAGCATATGCATATCACATGTCATAGACAGTTCTTGTAATTATAATTAAGTTACTAGCTGTAGACTAAGTTCAGGTAAAAATTCATTCATCAAAATCTTAACTGCATTACTTAATAGTGAATTGATATTGTAGGATGTAGAGCGTATTATCGATCATGAAATAATTTGAATCAAAAGCAGAGACAGAAATACATCTCTCTTTTGTGTAGTCCTTATTTGAACTTGAAAACATACATACCTAGTATGGTCACAATAAATTTGATTTGTCTCCATTCTAAACTGAAATTAACATAAAAAAGATAAATTACAAAGTTCCCTTCACATTTCAAATTGTCCTTCTTCCTCTGTGAAGATGGCCCAGGATGCAGTAGAAGTGAGGAGTGTCTACAAGAGATATGGATCCAAGAGAAATGGCGTCCAGGCTTTACAGGACTGTTCTCTCACTGTACCACAGGGATGCATGTCAGTATGACAGCAGTTACAGCTCTCTTGAACATCAGACAATTTGTCCTAGTAGTCCTTAGAATAATAACACTGCAGTAGTTGAAGTCTGGGAGTAGATGTGTGGATGTACTAGTAGCTTACCTTGACATGATAGCTGTATTTACTGAGCGTGTGGAAGCCATTCATTTATCTATGTCAGAATAAAGCAATACTTGATTAATTGCTGTGTTATCCCTCACTGATGCCAGTGATTTGTAATCAGGTAAAGAAAGATAAATTTCTTTAACATTTGTTAATCATTCTGTTTTTTAGCTATGGGCTCTTAGGTCCTAGTGGGAGTGGTAAAACCACGCTATTACGAGCTCTAGTTGGCCGTCTGGCGGTGGATGCAGGTCATGTGACAGTTCTAGGTCAAAAGCCGGGGGCCAGAGGTCACGAGGTGCCTGGAAAGCTGATTGGCTACATGCCTCAGGTACTTAAAGAGAATGTCATTTCTGTCTACATAAGTGTGTTGTATAAGAGGGGGTGGGGGGGGGGGGGGTAGCCTGTGATTT